CCACATCCTCGAGGACACAGGGACCTCCTCAACCCACACCCCAGAGGGCAGAGGGACCCCTGTGAGCCACATCCTCGAGGACACAGGGACCTCCTCAACCCACACCCCAGAGGGCAGAGGGACCCCCTGTGACTCACATCCTGGAGGACACAGGGACCTCCTCGACCCACACCCCAGAGGGCAGAGGTCACCCCTGTGACCCACGTCCTGGGAGGACAGGGGGATCCTCTGTACCCCACACCCCAGAGGGCAGAGGGACCCCCACGACCCACGACCTGGGAGGGCAGAAGACCCCCATGAGCCACGTCCTGGGGGGGCAGGGGGACCCCTCACAGCTCGCATCCTAGAAGGCAGGGGGACCCCTCACAACCCACACCCTGGGAGGGCAGGGGGACCCCTGCGATGCATCCCAGGAGTGCACAGGGACCCCTGTGACCCACATCAAGGAAGGCACAGGAACCTCCACGACCCACACTGCCAGGAGGGACCAGGGAGCCACCCTGCTACTCACAACCTGGGAGGGCATGGGGACCTCTGGGCCGCACCCCTAGAGGGCCTGGGACCAGCCCCCCTGGGAGAGGAACAGGACCCCCCAACACACCCCACAGGAAGGCAATGCAGTTGCCCTCCAGAATACAACCCTGCAGAGCAGTAGGGTCCCCCATCCCCCAGGAAAGCAGTGTGACACTCCCTCCCTCCCTCAGCAGGATGGGGGTCCCTGTCCTGCCCCAGGCACAGCCTCAGAAACAGGAGACCCAGGAGTCCCACACCAAACAACCCCGCACCAGCCCAGCTGCACCAGGGCACCTAGGAGGGGAGCCCTGACCCTCTGCCTAACTCACATCATAAAATGCATCATTGTGCCCCTTCTCCTGCAGCTGGTAGAGCACAGGATTCAGGAAGCCCAGTGGTGAGAGCCCTTGCTGCAGGCGCCGGTCATTTATGAGTGCCACCATGCCGCCCACCACTGGTGTGGATGCCTATGGAAAATGCGAGTGCATCAGAGCCAGGGCAGCACAGCCAGCACGGACCAGCACAGGGGTGCACTCCTTACCGACGTGCCTGACACCCAGGGCAGCGGGATGCGGTTTATCACCACCCAGTAGTTGTCGGAGAGAGCAGACAGGTCAGGGTAGGCACGGCCACTGCTGTTGTAGTAGGAACTGGGAGGCAGCTTTGAGGCTGAGTGCAGGAAACGCTTCACTGCAGCAGCCTGGAAGGAAGCATGAAGAGGAA